AGGGAGACAAAGGCGGCCGCGCGTATATCTAGCCACTCCATCACGTCGTGCGCTCTTCCGGCCTTAATTAAGTGCTCGTCAAGAGAACATGTCCAACCGTCTATGTAAGCATTATGGACGGTCTTTGTTTTCTTCATTGTATCTGTCTGTGCGCGTGTGTGTGTCTGCGTGTCAGTGTGTACGTGTGTGTGTGCCTTTGTGTTTGTGTGCGCACTGTGCTACGCACCTGGCGACGCGGGATCGATTCCCACTCACAGCCAACATCGGTGACATATCTAAACCGATCCTGGGCCTCCCCTAGGTCGACTCAGCCTCAAGCGAGTACCTACCTGATTCAGTTTGTAAACATCGGCATCGGAGAGACAAAGGCGGCCGGGCGTAGTGCTGGCCACCCACGCCCTCGTGTGCCGTTCCGGTCTTACTCGGTGCTCGCTATAACAAGCACTTGCCCCAACCGTCTGTAATAGACTATACGGGATATCTTTGTCTTTTTTTGTTTTGCGAGTCTGCGTCCGCCCTGGGTGACATCTGCAGCTCACAGGTGGAGATTTTCGGCGCTCTCACCTCGGTGACGCAGCCAAATCCACGTGCACGATGGCGTCCGTGGCTCTCTTCCTCTACGTGTGAACTCACGCTGCGTGGCTCATCTGCCCGTGTGCCTGCTCCAACTGGCATCTCTGCCCTCCAAACGCAACAACCCGGGTCGACGTCACCACGGAGCTTGTGCCAGGCTAGGTGCAGTCTGAGGCCACGTGAACTATGGGAAGGCTCGCTGGTTTGGTACAAGGTTACGTGAAAGGCTCTACCCCTGATGTTATTGGCTTAACTGGCTGAAATTAATGGCAGATGCAACACCTGCAATCGTTCCTGTGCCAAATTGCTGTTTACCCAGAACGGGCACCCTCCCTGCCTCTCTCTCTCTCCAATACAGGGCCAAGCCCACATTAGCTGTAGTGCGTGAATGTCATTTTGAAGCTGTGGGAAATGACCCCTATGAGAGACAATCATCCGCGCATGCAACAAAGATTCACCAAAGATCCCTCGTATAGCCGTCAGAGGCTGTTAAATCAAGTGCTGTTAGCAAGCGCTTGTTAATGCCGGTACGGTGCACGAAGGGATAGTGTAGTAAGCATCACGCCCGAACGCCTTTGTCTCCCCAGTGCTTTGTTTACACACATGCACCAGGTGCTAATTTTAAGGGTGAAGTCGGTGGACACTCGGGGAAGCTCCGGATCCGATCCGATAATCGCCACTGATGTTCGCTATGTTCAGGAATCGAAGTCATGTGTGGCTGGGTTCGTAGCACAGCGTGCTTCGCACTACGGCAGTGCTCCACCACATCTCTCTCACACACACACACACAGCTCATGCCCGTTACACACACGAGCATCGTAAATCAGCCAGGAAAGCACCTGAGAGCGTTCAACCCGCGTGCAATGCAAGCTGTGGGCTTGGACGGGCTCAATGTGCAGGTGCGGAAATGCCTTCACTATAGGGAGCTGAAGAGCGACTAAATATAATTCCCTTGGCCTACTCTTGCACGCTGGCCAGAAGTATTTGGAAGAGGTGGGAGTTAGCCTGCCCATTTTTACTGGAAAGTTCAGTGTCCTAACCATTACACGACGACAGCATGATCCAGACTTTGAAAAACAACACGCGCAGAAAATGCGTCTCTTGCGAAAGCAGACGCGGGGAATGTGAATGGGGCGCGCAGAGAGGGAGTGCAGAGGTCAACTGCGCGGAGGCGACCTCTCCAGACGGAGCAAGGGAGAAATTAGATGTTCTCATTCAGAGAAATCTCCTGACTGAGATCCCGAAATTGGAAGTGAGGGATATACGTGAGATGCATGTTTGTATGAGTACATGTATGAAATAATGTATGGATGGAAAGTGAGCATGTATTATTCATTCATGTACGAATGAATGCATGCATGGAGCATGTGAAGTCTGCATTAATTAATTAATTCATGTATGTACAGTATGTATGCGTCCCTGAAATATAAGAAGCATATGTGCATATAGCACATGAGAAGCATTAAAGTGCATCCTTGTAAGCATTCATCATTGTGTTGGCCCTGATGAATGCATGCTTAGACGAGGGACAGCCTTGGACACTATTGTCCTGCCTGCGTGGTGGTGTACAGGTCACATGTATTGCATATATCTTTCAGCATAAAAACCACACACACACACATTGAATCTGTTACATATACATGTAGGCCAGCATTAAAGCGCTCGCTGTTTTAGTGCAGTGCTGTGCAGGACGGGCTATAGAGCGGCTGCACTATCCCCCAAGGAAATCGAATACAAAGTCAACACCCCTCTCCCAGAAGCTGCCGCGACTTGCAGTCCCGTCAACCACCATTACGTTGGGGAGATATGCGCGTGTGATGTACGTATAGCAGCCGTCATTCACATATAATTCGTACAGACAATCGTGAGTGGCTGATGAATAAATCTAATGATACTCTAAAAAGGCTTAGAAAGATTAAACTTGACGCTAAAATACTGGGCTACATTGAGGTCACGTTGGTGATGGATTTGGGAGGTCTTCATCCAGCAGTGGATTGATCACGGCTGTTGATGACGATATGAATATACCGCAAATTGAAAAATGCCAAAAACTAAAAATGTCTAACGTGGGCCACACAAAAACGTCCACGGGATATGTATTGGTTTCACTCATGAGACAGGGCCAGTCTCGAATTCTGTATTGCTTTTAGTCTTGTGCTAAACACTTCCAAATAAAAGATCCCCATCATCAGCGAACCAAATAATTCGCCTCTCGTGGCGTGTGCCGTTAAACCGATGGGAAACTATTGCAGGCAATTGTAAACAGCAGACAAAATCCGTGTGATTTACACTCCATTTGGTTGATCTTTAAATCACAAGTCCCTTACCTTTCGACTCTACCTCCTTTTCAAGACCAGGCTCGACACTGCCCACGCCTGACCATGTCTACCTGTCCACCTGTCTGCGTGTCTCTCTTTCCCCTCTCTATTTCCCCTCTCACAGCGGTGATGTTTGGTTCTTCCCCTCTTGCCCTCCTGTCCAGAACACCCCCCCCCCCCCCTCTCCATCAAAATCAAATCAAACAATCGTCCCAACAAGATCCCGGGATGTGCACGTTCTTCTGTTGTGCCGCAGCGTCTTGAGTAAGATGCGGTCGCATTTTAGCGCCCGCGGAACATCCTGTTTCGTGTCGTTTTCTAAATAAGTGGCACGTACTTTCTGCATATTGTGTGGCCATTAAAGTAGGGGTCACGATAAAATATAGTTACAATGACCCCGACATGGCACATCGCGGGAACCGTTAGGTGTGTGGGAGACTGCCCACGTGTGTTTTACACACACGTGTGTTTTACACGTGAGTGCCTACGTATGTGCATCTCTGTGTGGGCGTGTGTGTGGCTGCATGTATGTACGCACGTATGCATGTGCGTCTTTGTTTTTGTCGGGGGTATTTCTATGGCGGGGCAGTTAGTGCTGTCACGGCCAATTCCAGTAACGATTGTCTGAACCAGTCCTGGGCCTCCCCTAGGTGGACTCAGCATGGTGCGATGCTTAAGCATCACTAGGGAGACAAAGGTGGTTCGGCGTGGTCCTGGCCAAATCACTCCCTCCGTTTCGGGCTTCATAGCTGCTTCCTAACAGCACTTGCCCCAACAGCCTGTATAGGCTATGCAGGTAATCTTTGAAATTGTGATCATTTGTGTGTGCATGTCCGTCTGTGTGTATGTACATTTGTGGGGAACGGTGGCACAGTGGTTCGCGCACTGCCCTACAAATCCGGCCACCGGAGTTCGACTCCCACACAGCCCGGGATATATGAACCTCACCTAGGTCGACTTGACATTAAATGAGTGTCTGGTGACGTATATAAACGCCGGTTAGTATGGAGACAGAGGCAGCCGGGCGTGGTGCGGGCCACACCACCTCCTCTTGTGCGCCCTTTTCCGGCCGTAACAGGCGCTCGCTAACGGCACCTGCCCCCAACAGTTTGCCTCGACTACGTTGGGGGCATTTTTGCGACTCTCTTTTTATTTTCGATAGAGAGGCGTGCACGCGTGACCAGCGTGTGCGCGTGACGAGCGTGTGCGCGTGTTTGTATGTGGACGCGTGACAGTCGCGTAGCTATCGGGTGTGCTAACGCTGCACCGCACGAAGCCCATGGCGCCCACAGGGGCACGCGGTTCGCAGGAGCTATTGGGCAGGGAGCCCCATTGTGTCGTCTGCACCGTGCCAACCGTGCTGCTATGCCACTGATGCGTGTCTGTTCATGAACGTGTTTGTGTGTGTGTGTACTTGTGTGCGTGTGGGGAGCGGTAACGCGCTGCGCTACGGACCTGGCGACCGGGGTTCGATTCCCGCTCACGGCCCACACCTGTGACGATTATCTGAACCGGTCCTGGGCCTCCCCTAGGTCGACTCAGCCTCAAATGAGTACCCGGTGCAGTGCGTAAAAACATCGCCACTGGGGATACAAAGGTGGCCTGGTGTGGTGTTGGTCACCCACCCCCTCGTGTGCCGTGCCGGCCTTTATAGGTGCTCGCTAACAGCACTTGGCCCTGCAGCCTGTTTCAGGCTATACCGGGGATCTTTTGTTTGTTATGTGCGTGCGTGTCCGTGTGCGTGCAGCGTGTGTATGTGCTTGTCTATTTTTGTGGGGAGCGGTAGTGCAGCGCTCAGTGTGCTGCGCTCTGGAACCGGCGACCCGAGTTCGATTCCCGCTCACGGCCAATACCAGTGATGATTATCTGAACCGATCATGGTTCAGATTATGGACTCAGCCTCAAATGAGTACCTGGTGCGATGTGTAAACATTGGCACTAGGGAGACAAAGGCGGCCGGGCGTGGTGCTGGTCACCAACGCCGTTGTGTGCCGTGCCAGTCATCATAAGTGGTCGCAAACGGCGCTTGCCCCAACAGTCTGTGGCAGGCAATACGGGGGATCTTTGTCTGTGTGTGTTATGTACGTGTATGTTTGTGCGTGCGTGTACCTGTCTGTCTGTCTCCTCATCACCGCTGCTCACCTTCTCGGGACCCTGGAAGCATATCCTGCACAGTGGCGTGCGCGTGCCCGTGTTGCCGCTGTTGAGCGACTCGGCATCCCCGTGCCGCTCCTTGGCAGTGGCGCCCTCCTCCTCTTGCTGCTGTCCAGCAGCTTCAGCAGCTGCAGGCTCGGCGCCACGCTGCACGCGGTAGTCTGTGTACTGTGCCTGTGCTCCACACTGACTCCCGGCACCATGGCTTTGCTGCTGCTGCTGCTGTTTTCCCGTCAACTGACGACCTCCCCCCACGCTGCTGCTGTCGCTGTCCTCGTATCCGCTCTGGTCGCTCATGGCGGCGCTGACTGAACGCTTGGGGGGCAACAGCAGAGTCTTGAAGTTGCCCAGAGCACCACCACCACCACCTCCTCCTCCTCCCCCCCCACCAACGCCGCCGCAGCAGCAAGTCTCAGCGTCCTCGCAGTATCCACGGCGCAGCATCACCGGCGGGCGCTTCTAAACCAGCCGGATCTCCCTTCCCTGCCGTTCCCGTATCCCGCTTACCCCCCCCCCCCCCAATCCCTTATCCCAATTCCCAAATCCCAGAAACCCCTGGGTGTGCCCGATTCTCTCGCGCCGGGCAGCGCGGGGCCGGTGCTGCTGCTGCGTCCACGCTGGGTACTGCTGCTGCTGCCGCTGATGATGCCGATTGCCGGGGAGGAGACGGGGGAGGGAGACGGAGGGGGTGGTGGTGGTGCGCGCGTGCACGCTCTGTCAGGTCGTCGCTGACGTCACCGCGAGCTGGGGCGACCGACCGCTGCGGGCACGTGCCGCTCCCCTTCCTCCTACTCCTCCTCCTCTTCGAATCCCGCTCCTGTGTTTATTCCTCGCCCCCCCCCCCCCAATCTAGGGTCCCACCACTCGTCCTGCCCTCCCCATCTCGCTCGCACCCTCCCATGCTGGGCCACCACCCACCGCGCGCCCCACTCATCCCTGAACCCGCCGCCACAACGACCCCTTCCGTTCTGAGCACACACGGCGCACAATCCACACCGCCTATAAAGACACCTGCTTCCTGATTATCGACCGGTGGTGGTGGTGGTGGTGATGATGGAGGGCAAGACTGATGTCGCTGAAGATGGAAGACGATGGTGATGACGTCTACCAGACTCAATCTTGACTTTCTTATTTTTAGCTGGCACTTGATGACATAATATATGGTAGCTGGTGTTTATGGTAGCGACGACTAATGATTGATGGTGATTGACAATAATGGTAAGGATGATGACAGTCGCGGTGGCAGTGGGTAGGTGTGATACCGGACTTAATAGGTGCCCGCGATCAGCATGGATCTTTGATGATGCAATGTATATTCTTGATTCTTTCGGTAAAGTCACGTAGAAGGGAAACAATAAAATAATTAAAATATAAAACAATAAAATTCTCACGACGTTTCGACTGCAACGCAAGCAATCATCATCAGGTGTGAAAACCACAACAAGAAATTTTGAAAAAAGTGGCGGTTATTTTTAACGTTAGCACCACGGAGAGCGATTTGGCAGTTTGATCAGATGGACGAGTCCATCTATGTTCGGAAAAGAGGAGGGGGGAGACAAAAAAATAATGGATGCGGTCTGAAAGCCACCTTAATCGTGATCAATCAATTAAGACCCGAAATGGTTTATCAAATCCTTCCAATGATTGCTAAACCAGAATCCATCTTCTCGGTTTAAATTGTCTCTGTGTTTGTATATGTGGATAGCCTCATGAACGAATCTCTCATGGTAGCCAGATGGCTTGCAAAGAACCTCTGTCTTGGAGAAGTCAATGTCATGTGAGCCTACTGAATTATAACAGTGATCTGCCACGGCCGAGGTGTTGGTCCTACCGTGTTTCAGGTCTGCTTTGTGTTCACGAATGCGGTCCGAGACATGTCGTTTGGTTTCTCCAATGTAACTACTACCACAGAGGCAACATAGTTTGTAGACACCAGGGTATTGTATCTCCGGAATCACATCTTTTACAGACGGAACCAGATCACGGATTTTATGCAATGTGTTGAATCGGACCTGGATCTTGTGTTTATTCAAGATTTTGGAGATCTTTTTTGTGATCCCCGCAATGTAGGGTAAAGTGATGGTTTTGAAAGGCTCATCAAGAGGGTCCTTCTTCATGGTTGGAGTGATAGCTTTGCGGATTGTGTAGTCGGCATAACCATTAGCCTTAAGAGCTTGGTGTACGTGCTTGAGTTCACTGGCTATATGTTCCTGGTCGGATATGCATTGGGCTCTATGGTGCAGAGTATTGATGAGGGAATTATTCTGGGATGGATGGTGGTGTGGGAATCCGGTTTCAGGTAAGCATCCGTATGGGTAGCTTTCCTGTTAAAAATAACCGCCACTTTTTTCAAATTTTCTTGTTGTGGTTTTCACACCTGATGATGATTGCTTGTGTTGCAGTCGAAACGTCGTGAGAATTTTATTGTTTTATATTTTAATTATTTTATTGTTTCCCTTCTACGTGACTTTACCGAAAGAACCAAGAATATGAATCCCTGCAGTCACGAAAGCTTTAAATTAAAAGATGCATTGTATGTTGAGGGTTGGGGGGGGGGGGTCTTTAATGATCATGATTTTTTACTGTCCATACCCCGATGATCTACTCTCTACAGACTACGTGAGGGGCGGTGACGGCGGCGACATCACATCTCATGCCCCTGTCTGCAGCGAGCAACATTACACCCATTGCAATGACGGTGATGACCGGGATTACGGCAAATATATCCCATACTGCAGCATGAAACATTGCACTCATTATAATAACTACGATGGTGGTGATGCGTATGGCATATGTATAATATCACTGCAGCATGAACCGTTTCACTCATGATGACGACGACGATAATAATGGTGAATACTTCGTTATTCTAGCGTGAAGCATTACGCTCATTGCCACACCCTATAGCACAGCAGCCCGCGAGCACAGACGCGCGCACACGTACAGACACGGCGGCGTGTCTCCTCCACGCACAGTGCACACATTTCATGTGTTCTTCTCATGGATGCGTTGTCAATAGTTTACACACACACAAACACACGCTGTAATTCAACAGTCGCGTGCATCGCGCGAGCAGAGCGACCTCCCCCCCCCCCCACCAGCCGTGCGCTCACAGCCGCCCTGCTTCGATCCCGCTCCCCACTCACTCCCACACTGTGAGACCCCCCCCCCCGCCCCCCCCAATCAGAGCCGTCCCCCAGGTACGGTGAATCGAGGCGACCGCCCCGGGCCCCGGGCCCCCGCGTCACGGTGTCGGTGAAACACTGCCGGTTTAGTTTGGCTTCCAGTACCGAGTCGGCGGTGTTTAGGCTACCCACGCCTGTCCCTCTCTTCTCCTCCCCGCCGCCCACGCCTTCATTCAAACAACTGAGCTGAGCAGAGGAAAAAAAATCCCACGTAGGCTTTCACGACCGATATATTACGATGCATGAATAGTTTAACCTTGATTTGAAGCTTTCGTGACTGCAGGAATCCATACTCTTTGGTTCTTTCGGTAAAGTTACGTAGGTATAAAATAAAATAAATCACGACGTTTCGGGCGCAACACAAGCGTCCATCATCAGGTGGGAAAGCATGGTCTGCTGCTTTCAGTTTGCCTCAGCAGCAGACCATGCTTTCCCACCTGATGATGGACGCTTGTGTTGCGCCCGAAACGTCGTGATTTATTTTATTTTTCTACCCACGTGACTTTACCGAAAGAACCAAAGAGTATGATTCGTTTCTTTTGGGTTGAGATCTATCTATAGGGTGGGCCATAATTAACTACCTGATTTGTTTTGCCCATAACTTTAGAAAAAAAAACAATAAAAACACAAACTCTAAATGATAATAAATATATATAATTCGTGCAGATTCGATATAATTATGTGTGAAAAATAATATCTTGGAAATGACCGCCTGCGCTGCGTTGGACAAATCCGTGCTCTTTCAACGGCATGTTCCATCACTCTCCTCAAAACAGCTGGCGAAGTCGGAGATCGACCGGTTCGAGGTCTGCCAACAACAACGCTTTGCATCCACCGTTGTACCTGGTTACCCAATATCGGCAAATCAACGCCCCAATGCAGTGCAGAGTTGGAGCCGTTCGGGTCTTAAAATATCTGCAATAGTCTCTCTGTGTTGAAATAATTGAACAATTGTTTCTGAAATACATGTCAACTATTCTTGCACGCTGCTGAGGTGTATACCGGTTCATCATAAACTCCCAGGCTTCTACTTTATTTCTACAAAAACACATGTTACAAAGTAATTTAACACAATACCGGTAGTTCAAATCAGGTAGTTACTTATAGCCCACCCTGTATAATGTAAATTTCCGGGTATACCCTCCGCCACCCGACAGAGCCAATTAAAATCAAGTCGTCACGTGGGAAAACACGCCACGTTGATTTGGTGTTTCAGCAAAACCGGAGCAATGTTGAAAAGCAGGCAAAATGTGTAATTTTCTTCATCACCTTTTTAGCCATAAGTTGCGAAGGGAGGCGACACTGCTCAGTGGCACAGCGAGGTTCTCGTCGAGACTCCAGTCCAATACTATAGTCCAGTACTACAGGAACCAGGGTAAGAAGCCGACCACGTGTCTTGGGGAGGGCTCAACTGGGACACCCGTGGCGGTGAGCCGGCAGCCGCCTCCTCCTCCCCGCCCACATTTACATAACCACGCCCACCGAACCACTAGCCCCCGTCCACACGGAGGGGTCTCCACGGTCACTCTCTCTCTCTCTGGCCGCTAATCGCTATTTGGTGATGATGTGTTGTTGGCATTGGTGCACAAGGACACGCATAAACGAACTAATAAAAACTCGACTCGATGACAAAGGGCCATTGCCCGAAACGTCGCCTCGGCCACTACACTGTTTACCTCGGCTGCTACTCGGTTATCCCCGCTCCTATGAGGCCATCACATAAAAAAAGACTACGACAGTTCCGATTTTAGAGAAATGTTTCAGGACACCGAGACAGTCTTTCGAAAACCGTCGAGACTGTCAATGGGCGGTAGGGGCGGGGAGGGTCAGGGTGTTAATGGGTGGAGGTCTGTGGGTGCCAGTAGCAGTGGAGTTGGGAGAGAACGACCCTGGGGTGCCCGCTCCTCGGTGATGGCGTTACGCACATCGACACAGGGTGCCCGCTCTCCCTCGCACTCTCCCACCGCTCCCCTCCCTCCGTAACACCCTTACTACTCTCTCTATATTGTCCTTTAATCCATTGGGCATAACACTCAACAGCTGTGCCCTCATAATACTCACTTGCACGCGTGGGCACTACCGCCTTCAATATCAGCCCGGGGAGTGGGGGGGGGGGTCGAGCCCCGCATTAGTGAATGAGGTGTCAGGTGGGGGGACAGGGAGAGGGGAGGTGTCTATTAGAGACATCTGAAGGCGGTACACGCAGCGCCACGCCGAGTGGACTTCACAAGCAGTCACGACGATCATGATTCGCCTTATCCGCCCATCAATTAGAGTGCCAATGATGAGAGTGGATGTGCAAAGGAGACCTGTGGATTTCCAGAATTGACACAATTCTCAGTGTCCCGGGCGAGCAGTCGACGCCTGTGAGATATATGTAGGAGAGTGTTAAGATAGACTTCACATCAAGAATCAACTCCAATCGTGGGCTCCAGCTGGTATCTTCACCAACTTAAACTCCCACCACCTCGCTCCCCTACATCATCCCTGCCTCCTCCCCCGATATCCCTTCCCGGCATCTTTATCAGAAACTGGAGCAGCAAGTGTTGCGATCAAACACTTGTGTTTAGATGACTCCCTAAACAGTCGTCACACACTCAAGCTAATCAATTGACAGCAAACTCAACACATTCGTC